ATTTTTATTTTAACAACCCAGTCAATATAGCAAATATGTTTTTAGAGAAGCAAAAGTTAAGAGAATTCGTTGTCCTTCTGCCTGCACTGCTAGAGCAATCAGTGATCTTCAGGTGGAAAGGAATGATTCCAGAAAGAAACCCGGAAATCCACATAACCATTAATAGGCTAAACATACCAATGAAAAAAGCCTTATTAAATCTAGATTTTAAAAAAATATTTGTTTTCTTAAATATATAAGACCAGATAGTTTTAAAGTTATAGGATGGATAAAAGAGAACCAAAAGAAAGCTGTTCACATCTTTGCAATTGTGAATTGTGCTGCTATAAACATTTGACTGCAGGTGTTTTCTTTAAATAAATTTTTTTTTATTTCCTTTGAATAAATGCCCAGTAGTGAGAATTTTTTTTTATTTAAAAGAATAGATGAAAATATTACCTTGTAATAAGGGGCAAGAAAAAAAAAATAAAAGAATAGATGAAAATAAAATTTATGTTAAGAGTTAAAACAAACAAAAAACTCCCAGAAATCTGTTCAACTAAGCATGCCAGTAAGAGAGTGAAATCAGAAGTAGAAAATGTAAAATTTCTCTTTATGTGTGTCTCTGTCTCTCTATATATGATATACATTTATTTATATATCTGTTGTATATATGTATGTTTTAGATGAATTGACATATTTGTGATGTATCATACACATATATATGTACAAATACAATGATATATTTTATGCACATATATGATTAATGTATAAGTATCAATCTAACTAATACAGCAAATCTATTGGAAACATGGTCAGAGTTACACAGACATTTCACTAGACACAATACTAAAATGTCCCATAAACACATGACAAGGTGTTTAGCTTCATTAATTATGATAATGTAAATTATAATCACAGTGAGATACGGATAGAAGGATGTAAATTAAAATGTCTTACAATACCAAGTACTGGTGAAGATATAGAACAACAAGAACCTCATACATTGCTGGTGGGAGGGTACCTTTGTGTACCCTCTTTGGAAATCAGTGAAATTATTCACTGAAGATGAATATGCTGGCAACAATGTACTTTATTGAACTTCTAACGTGTATAGATGGTATATATATAACTATAAGAAGCACAACATGAGGAAAGAGGGAATAGAGCTCTATAGGACTGACATTTCTATATTTCACTGGAACAAAGATAGCACAGATCTACATTCTATTCTGATATGTTAATATCAATATGGTAAAAGAAAAAAAGGCAGATTTCTTTCAAAGGGGGAGAGAGAGTCACAGATGGTTTTCTGACAGTAATGATCAAATAGTAAATGACAAGTATATGTAGGCTGCCACAAATTTAATTTTATACTCATCAACTAATTTCCTAAAATCATGTAAATGAATTTTCAGATTTAAAAGACATTTGCACTACAATGTTTATAGCAGCACAATTCACAATTGTAAAGATGTGGAAACAACCCAAACACCCATCAATACATGAGGGGATTAATAAAATCATGTATAGGTTACCATGGAGTTCTACGCAGCCACAAAAAGCAATTATTATCCAGCACCTCTTGTACTATCTTGGAAAGAGCTAGAGCCCATTCTACTAGGTGAAGTATCACAAGAATGGAAAAACAAGCACCACATGTACTCACCATCAAATTGGTATTAATTGACTTAACTGATCTACACTTAAATGCACATATAGTAGTAACATTCATCGGGTGTCAGGCAGGTGGTGGGGAAGGAGAGGGTCAGTATATTCACACCTCATGGGTGCAGTGTGCACCATCAGGGGGATGGCCACGCTTGAAGCTCTGACTCGGGTGGGGCAAATGCAATATATGTAACATAAACATTTGCAACCCCTGAAATATTCTGAAATAAATATATTAAATAAAATAAACATGAAAAGTAACAAAAAGTGACTTTATCAGCAGGTCCCTCAATGGAAATTTTCAGATATGTGACTTAAGCAGAAGGACATTTGTTACTACTGATAGAAAGCTCAACATTTCTTTGGTTTTAACCAGAAGACAGCTTTCTTGTCATTTTTTTCTACATCATGCTGGCTGAGGAATGGACATCGGGAAGCAGTGACAGTGGAAAGGGGAGGAAAGCTGTATGCTGAGGGTGGCAGTGCCCTGCCCACCTGAGTGACCTCATGGAGCAGAGCCCCTCCCACCCCAAAGCCACCTCCCTACATCTGGACTGTTAAGCCAGAGACAGAGAAACCTTATCACATTTAGCCCATCATATTTCAAAGTTTCTTTGTAGCAGCCAATTCTGTTTTCCTCTGATTCATCTTGTATGCCCTGTCAGCTTTGGGAGACCATTTATTTTTCAACCACTTTGTATTGAGATTATAGCCCTATAGAATATCAACATCATGAAGGATTATTTTATACATCCAACCACTTGGAAGGGGTTTAGACCTTATTCCCTGACTCACATCAAAGCAGAAACTCAAGGTCACTAGGTGTTGGCAATCACATAAGGGCTAAAGAAAATTACAGCATTGCTTAAATCTACTCTTTCTATGTACACTCTGTTTTCTCCTTCTGCATTCCATGATACATTTTAAGTTCAAAGATGCATTTGTTGGACCTTTAAATAACACGATAAGTGTCTTACACCCCATAATTTGAGGACTCCAGTCTGCTTGATTTATATCTGAATTTTTCCCTACAACTTTAATATCTAAAGGAAACCACACTTTGGAATTTTAATTGCACTTGCCATGGAGTCCATTATCTTGGAATAGATGATAGTCTCATTCTTACTTTACACACTGAGCCTTCAGAAAAGCTTGTTGTTATGTTGTTTCAATCATTATTTTAGTCTATCACATCTTGTCATGACAAGTTACTGACATGACTCAGTATTAAGTCTGATAAAATTTTAGAGCAATATTTTAAATGAAATATAATGAAGACGTAAATTTTCTGTGCACTTACAATAAAAGCATAGAATTCAGATTCATTTTTTAGGTCAGGATGATTTCAAGTGAAAGTAACATTTTTATGTTGTTTGAAACTTTTTGTTATAACAACATAATACCCAATTTGTCATCTCTAAAATAGTATTTAGTTTAAATACTTTTAAAATTCTTAGAATTTTAGATAAAAAGAAAAATCTCATGTAATTCTGTATTTTCTCTATGGTATATAAAGTAGACTTTAGAGTCTCCATCTTTGAGTTTATGCTGGTTTATTTTGAAGGCTTACTTTGGAATTGCAGGAATCCCTCCTTATGCTGCTAAAGGTAATTAAGGCAAATCAAAGTCTTTGGCAGAATGATCTTATATCTACTAATAATTTACAAAGTCTATTTGAATAGTCAAATATCAAACATTTTTACTAATTATTCTTAGCCATACTTGCCCTGAGGACAGCTTGTGTAGATACTTTCTCAAACATGATAGTGGAAAGGACAGTTTCCTGTGCATGGTGGAGGAGTAGCAGGGGGAAAATGGGAAAATACAAATTTCCCAATGTTATCAAGATTTATCTTGTTAAAAAAAACTCAACTGGTAATTTCCACTATGTATTCAACCTGTGTGGCCACTAATCTGCATCCATTGTCTGGTTGTCAAATACAGGCAAGACAGGCTGAGGATGAGCTTTGATTTGCTCTCTCTTTCATCATAGCTGGTTGCTCACAGGGCACTTGGACCATCCGAATTCTCCTGCTGCTCAGGCCGTGCCTAGGCTGCGCAGCTGATGGGCCTTAACATGAGGGACCTGAGGAGCAGCTGAGGCTCTCAAGGGCCAGAGTCCTCAGCTGCAAACTCTCCCTGATTCTCCACCAGCCTCCTCTTCTGCAGACTCAGAGGACCTGCTGAGATGCTCCCCAGAGAAGCAGCCCTTGTGGGCAGCTGGGCCTCAACAGCAGGGAGGTTTGTGTTAGGGGCTGCACCACTGTGGGAGGAGTTTGTAGATCTTGCATGCAATAATAAACTCCAACATCCTCAGCCTCCACTCTGCTGATTTTCAATGTAAAATCTGTCCCTGACCCACTGCCACTGAACCTGTCTGGGACCCCAGAGAACAGGGTGGAAACCAAATAGATCAGGAGCTGTGGAGACTGGCCTGGCTTCTGCAGGTACCAATGCAAATAGGTCTTTCCATTGCTATGCAGGAGGCTCTGGCTAGACCTGCAGGAGATGGAGGCCGGCTCTCCAGGGGTGACCGGCAGGGACAGTGGAGTCTGGGTCATCACAATCTCCCCATTGGATCCTGCAAGAATGAGAGAGAAGTAGTACAATGTTATATATATCATTATGAGCAATTTTCAGGATTTTTCTCATACTATTTATTTAAAGTTATTTTTGTTTACAAATTGTGATTCAGATGATACAAATAAATTTTCTAAAATGAGCACATTACTTACTAGGCACAAGGAACTTTGTTTTATAAAATCTTAATCACAGCCCTCATCATTATAGTATTTAGAGGGTTCCTCATTAGTCAAAGGTCAAAATATAAATTTCCTCCTTCCCAGGAACAAAGACCATATGTCCCTAACACATGGTTACAATAAACATGGGAAGTTGTATCCCCTCCCCCCAGAGCTCACCCACTCCCTGTCCTCCTTTCTCATCTCTCTGTCCTTACCAGGGACCCAGAGCACCAGCAGCCCCAGGAGCTGAGCAGGGAGCCTCATTTTGGGAAGTTGGACTGAGGAGTCCTGGTCAGTCCAGGCCAGGTTAGGCATGAGCTTTATCTCAGACTCACAAGGGAAGGCCCTCCCTAGGGGACAGTATGCAAATGCCTTGGTGGTGCAGTGGAGTGGAAGGGAACAACAGGTTGGTGTGAGTCTCTCTTGTGAGCAAAGTGACATATATGTCCCCTGTGTTTGGAGCAAAACTAACAGACAAAAATTCCATACTATCTAAGTAGAGGAAGGGATTTTAATGTTTGTTTCTTTTCTGTTTTTGGAAGCTTTTGTTCCATCTGAATGATTCAAGTTACTGTCTGTCATAACATGCCATGATTATGAAGGATTTCGTCTGAAATAATTTTAGGGCATATCGGCTAGTCTTGACATCCCTTTTCTTTCTTTTCTGAAGGATAATATTGCTTAACATAAAATTCCTTTCTGGCATTTTTTTTCTGTGAGCACTTTAAATAACTTTCAAGTTAATATTAATCCTATACTATTAACTAATTTATAATTCATCTTTCAATTTCACTTACGTTTACACCAATTTCTTTTTATGTGTTTTTGGGTAAAATTACAGGATTCCATACTGCACTTAGTTTTCATGCTTCATTCATTTTCTCTAGTCTGTGACAGTTCTTAATTTTTGTTTGTTTTTCAATATTCTGAAACTTTTGAGTTATACGGGACAGTTATTTTGACAAATGACCCTCTAATCAGGTTTAGTTGATGTTTTTCACTGATTAGATTCAGATTTTTCATTTTTGTCAAGAATATTATGGAAGGGATGTGTCCTCAATGCATGATATCAGAAGTTATAGCATGTAATATCAACATGTCATTTCTGGTGATGATTAATGAATATGACTAATGAAACCTTTTTATAAGAAACCCTTAGTCAAAGGTGAGTGTGGTATTTTGATCACTCTTACTATGTGGTTATATGCTAACTTAGTCAGGAATAAGCTATCCCTGTCTGCCATGGTTTGAATGATTGTGTCCTTCTGAAATTCATGTTGAGCCTTAAACCCAAAGGTGATGGTAATAGATGAAGTGCCCTCTGGGCACATTGAATCAGGAGGGCTCTACCCCCAGGTATGAGATTAATGCTCTCATGAACAAGGCTCCAGAGAACTGCCTGGTCCTCCCACCTCTATGCAACATGAGGACACAACGCTCACTTTGTCTTCTTTTGACCTCCCCCCTTCCAATATGTGGGGGCACAGAAACAAAATTTCATTTTGAATCACAGAGAGCCAAGTTCATTAGACACTGCATCTGATGGTGTCTTGATCTTTCACCTCCAAGATCCAGAACTCTGGACCTGTGAGAAATAAATGTTCATTGTTGATAAGTTTTCCAGTCTGTGGTATTTAGTTATGGCAGCACAAATGAACTGAAGCACTGTCTGACTCTGACATTTTTCCCCCAATAGTTATTTCTACGTATAACCTATTGCCAAATAGAGAACACTGAAGAAATAAATTATGGCCATTGAAATGAGTGTGTCTACCATGACCATTTACAATTCAAATGTTGATGTCCTGGAGAAAGGAAAAGAGGACTGGGATTTATTAAGCATGGTCATGTCCACCATTGCATAGCTGTTGTGAAGTCAACTGTTTGTACAAATGAATGCCATTATCTACCACTCAGAATGTTTCAGTAATCAAATAGAGGTATACAGAATTCACTGACTACTTCTGACTTGGAGGTTGAGATACTATTGGTGCCATGCTGAGATCCACACAGTTGGGACATGGTTTCCTAGAATGAGAAATTCTGGTGCCTCAGCTGAAGAATAGGTGACTACATTGACCTGGTATTTATTTCTTAAAATATGATTTTCCAAGTTTTCCTTTTATGACTTAAGTTGTCAATAGGATTGTGTTTTGATTGCTATGAAATGTAAAACATTAGAGAGGGTAGTGGGTAGAGAGGGTATATCAGAGAAGTCCCAGGCAGACATGACTGGATAGAGTTAGTCTGAGTTGGGCTTTTGGGGAAAAAAAATTGTACAACAAAAATATTTGAAGAAGTCATAGGTATCAAAAAAAGTAAATGAGAGCAACTTGGAAAATCTTTCTTGAGAAAAGATGGGGCACACATGTAACCAATGCCATTGTTTTTCATTGTCCTCTTACTCATTGACAGACTATGTCTGCAGTTCCTGAATATCTGGGAAGATATATCAGCTAAATCCTGTCTCTGGGGCCAGGAGGTGGCTGTGAATATGAGCAAATGTGGGTCTGACTTACACGTCTATGAGTCCATGGCCACTGGCCTGGGGAGGACCTGAAGGTGGTGACCTTTCTCCCACCTTGATGAGGACACTTTGATCCCTGTCCTCCAGATGCCCTTCAACAACCAGACCACACTCTGGTGACCTGGTCCTCACACCCTTTTATACTAGACAGACCCTCCCACTCACATTTCTTTCTAACTTGTATTTTCCTTTAGATTCATTTCCCCATAAGTACACTCTGCTCTGTGGACACTATGTGATAGAGGAAATGTTTTTCAGCTAAATATCCTAGGAGTTTCCATGAGTGTTATTTGCTGTATGTCCACAAGGTATGCTAGATGAATGGGATGAAGGAAGAGGTGTAAAATCATTTCTGGAAGAAAACTGTGAGCTACGAAATGAGATGAGGAATGGGTGACAATCATCATCATCACCATCATCATGATCATCATTGTCAAGCCAGAATCCGTCTGCTGTCCTGGGAACTGGTATCAGCAACACACCAGATCCTGCTGGTGTCAATGTTGTGCATGTGCCCCCTCTTGTGGCCAATTGTGGGAGAACCTTGAGGGTTTTCCCTGTGACCTGACATTGCCATTTCTGGGGTGTTGTGTAGGTTCTTTCTTGCATATTTTCATCCATGTTTTGTTGTGGTGCATAACACAAATAATAAGAAATGAAGACCAATAAACTTAAGCTCCAGAGGACAAATAGGCCTCTGTACGTGACTCCTATTTCTCCTGTCATTTTGTGTGTTTTGTTTTGTTTTGAGACAGAGTCTCAATCTGTTGCCCGGGGTAGAGTGCTGTGAAGTCAGCGTAGCTCACACAACCTCCAACTTCTGGGCTCAAGCAATCCTTCTGCCTCAGCTTCCCAAGTAGCTGGGACTACAGGCATGCGCCACCATGTCTGGCTATTTTTTTCTATTTTTTTAGTTGGCCAATTAATTTCTTTCTATTTTTAGTAGAGACGTGGTCTTGCTCTTGATCAGGCTGGTTTTGAACTCCTGACCTTGAGTGATCCTCCCTCCTCTGCCTGCCAGAGTGCTAGAATTACAGGCGTGAACGACTGTACCCGGCCACTCCTATCATTTTGTTCCTACTGACATTTTCCAAATTTCAGATTGGCAGAGATTCTAACTTGGCCAAGCCTGGGGGACTCTACTGGGGAAAAGAAGCCACCTGCGCTTCAGCAGGTGGGTGGAGCTGCCCTAATAGATTAGACACAATCTGAGTCTTAAGCCTCACACTGGATTTCCCTTGGGACATTTGATGAGGTCTGGGATGGGAAAGGTGACGAAATGGATGAGCCAACACGACCAGTGAAACCTCCCACATTCTCATGGGTTTCCCTTTCATAATTCTGCCCTGACTGTCCTCTAGCTTTGTCTGAGACATGACTCTTGGCACCCCACATTGCAGCTCCTGCTGACCTTCCAGCCCCAGCTCAGCCTTCTGATCAACATTCCCCTCCTCCTGACTACATGGTTTCTTCTGAATGACCCTTTTCCCAACAGACAACCAAACGAGACCACTCATTCCTAAGCATATAATGAGGCTAGATTTGAACATTGGAAACCTACCTACATATCCTCTACTGAGTTCACTAAGAATGAGTGATATGACCTAAGGATCATTTGGAAAGGAACTTCACTGACCCTTGAATCCCTAAAGCACTAGAATCCTGCCTGATGTTCCATTTCCCTGGGAACTTGCAGTAGCATCAGGGCAGATAATTGACCTCCAGGCCGGGGTTCCTTCAACTTTGTGATTCCTTCCAGAGAACACATCTGAGCTTGTATCTGGGCTCATATCTCAAGCTCAACCCCACCAGCATCAACATTCCAATATATGAGCCACCATGCTGGGCGCTGTGCCAAGAGCTGACATCTACCATGTGAATCACGTTCTGATTTACCTACTCTGCCCAAAGTCTCAAGATTCTTCTCTTTCAGAGGGAAATAATTGGCTTACACAGTGATATGGTTTGGATACTTGGCCCCTTCAAATCACATGTTGAAATTTGATCCCCAGTGTTTGAGGTGGGGCCCAGTTGGAGGTGTTTGGGTCATCAGGGAAGATCCCTCTTGAAAGGCTTGGAGCTCAACATGGGATGAGTGACTTCTCACTTATTGGTTCACATGAGAGCTGGTTGTTTAAAACAGGCTGGCACCACCTCCTCCCTCTCTTGCTCTGTTTTTCAGCGCAAGAGGTGCCTGTTGCCCCTTCACCTTCTACCTGGATTGCAAGCTGCCATCAGCCCTCCCCAGAAGTACATACTGGTACCACATTCCTTATACAGCCAGCACATCCATGAGCCAAATAAATCTCC